CCCCAAAACCCCAAAACCCCAAAACCCCATAGACAATAATTTTACAGATTAACAGAAATTTGATAAAATAAAAATAAAGTATAACTTTTAACATATAATATTCATACTTTAAATCTGAAAAGATGAACCTATCAATCTTTAAGAAAAAATCATTAGTTGTCAAGTCAGAGGAGATACTGAGCGTTTTAGGAAATAAGAGTGAAGCTCTAAAAGTGAATTCTAGTAGTAGATATTTGGGGTTTATAATGACTGGCACATGTGTGTTTGATATCAAAGAAGAAGTCAAACCATAATCTAGTATTGAAAAAATAAACTAGGAATTTCTGTGCAATTTTCTGACAAATATGATTCTTTAATCTCATTTTTAACTTGATTCTAGCAAAGAAGATGATTAGGCAGAATCAATCATTGAACTTGAGATATTCTCAATTAAAGTAAGTAAGTCATTCCATTTCGTCATTAATTAATTTAGCTATAATGTTCAATTCTATTTTGTGTATCGCCGAGCTCACTTCGAGCAACAATCATCAAGACAAACTGAAAGACTAACCAAAGAATATTTAAATCCTAAAAAACCTAATATAAATTTTGACACAGAAAAGTTCCCAGATCTCTGAAATGCTAGTTCAAATCTAAAATGAAGACCAATCTTTTAAAACTCATGAGTTAAGTACTTTCACCATAAATTAGGATTCTTCTTTGATTTAATAGTCATTTGACAACAGGCTTAAAGTCCTAACGAATATTAGGAAGTTAGGAGAAATCGATCTACGAAATTTAAAGTAGTAAGACAAAAGAGAAATTTAAGTCTTTACAATTCACTAATAAATCCCAAGAATTCAAATAATTAGAACTGGAAATTGCTAGATCCTGCCTACTATGAATAGAATAAAATACATAGTACAATAAATATTGATAAAAGGTACGAGTTAATTTGAATACCAAGATTTTAGCTTTTAAACAAAGGGTATTCTTGATGATTACATTATCAAAGGCCATTTTAGTGTCTAGTATAACATTTTGCTTTTCAAACTTTAACAAAAATAGATAAATTAATCACAATACGTAAGTAAAAAGAAAAAAATCAGAATATTTTAAAATGAGAAATACCTTCAAAAGAATTTTAAAGCATTTTTGGACAATCAGGACAATTGCTTTCAATTTTTAAACCAAAAGATTCATGATAAATTAGAGATTGAACTAAAACCTTTATCAATACCTTTGAAATAGAACAAAGTTATTCTGCCTAAGCTTGTCAATAATCTTGAAGAGAAGCACAACAATACACAAAAGGATCATTCCATAAAAAATCTAATTTCACAAAAAAATCATTCCTAAATATTAAAAAATATGCCAGTAAAGCAGATCAATAATGAACCTGAAAATAGCAGTAGATAAAAACATAGTAAAAATTCATTTGCAAAAGCTAGGTATAGCTAGGAGGACATACAAAGTCAAGTCTAGCTCAATAATAACTTAAAGAGTAGTGAAAACAAATAGTCAAATTTCAAAAAGCTTTTTTCTATATTCAACTAAAATAGAGTGCAGCCGGCAAAGGATAAGCTGAACTCTTAAAATTCATATTAAATCAATGATTCCTAAGATATTATCCCTGAAAGTTTCAATAAAATGAATGACATATCCAAAAATGAAGATAAAACTATGATAATTGAGAATGAGACAGATTAGAGTAGTATTGGCATAGCTGCTTAAACTAAGTTTGGAGCTAATATTAATATTGCAAAAGAGGCTTACATTCGTTAAACTGAATCAAACTCATTTACCTAAATTAAGCTAATAGACTAAAACCTAAGTGCTATTGACAATCCATGCGACATCTCATAATCGAAGATTAACATGCTATGATTAAAATATAAATACAATAATTTAGTAAAGATTCAAAGTCATTATGAAACAGCAATCTTCGATTCTTGGGGTTTTGGGGTTTTGGGGTTTTGGGG